GGAATAGTGACATCTGAAACAATTGGGTTTTAAAACAGTCAGAAATATAGCTATTGATTGACTGAAGGGGATTCTTCTGGCCTGTAATTGTACAATTTTGCTTTCTTAAGTCAGCAGGATGCTGTGGTGTGAACTTTGAGAATAATCTTTAAAGAAAGTTTTAAGGGGGGAAAAAAATGCAGCAGATTGAACATCTTTCCAAGAAAATTATGGAGGTGTATAGGAAGCCAGGGTTCTTTTCCTGATTATTTCTTAGCCATTCAAATCTGAGATTGAAAACATTACCTAAATGTAATGAGAAAGATGTAAAAAGGGCCATTGTTCAGAATCTCTCTGGAAAGTCCATATGCACATCACTCTTCTGAGAACAGGAACTTTCCTGGGACTGGGAGACAGCCAAGTCACATTTGAAAACTGAGGAACACAGAAACTGAAAATGGTTTGTGGTGCTGAGCAGCTGATTGAGAAATCATTACTAGGATTTTTTCTAGATCTAGGCAAAGAGTCCCATGCTAGTGGGAGGGATTTTTCCTGGAAGTGTTTTTTTCAGGCCTCTGATTATACGCCTGCATGTGCAGATTCAGTATGATTCCACGTGCCATCCCATGACAGTATAGCGAACCTGCACATCAGGAGAAATTTCAGATAGTAAAATGGTGACTTTAGTATTTTTCAGGGAAGTTAAAGAACAATTGTCTCTCTTTTCCCCTTCTTTGTCAGCCAGCCATTGCATAAGCAAATAAATTTAAAGTACTGAAGTCTATAAAGACTCACGTTCCAGACATTCAGTTTGTGGACTCAGAGTCCGTCTGTTATCATGCCTGGTCTGATGTGCACAGCACAGTTGCGTCTCCAGCTGCTGAGCAAGGCAGCAGTTTGAAAGATGACAACAAAAATGAAATGTAGATGATGCTTATGTTGCTGTGAATTGAAGGTAGGCAGTTTCTAAATTGATCCTTCCTGTCTATATAGCTCAAATGAGCTTGAAACAGGGAAACTGAAATCTAACATTTCCTTTTAAAAATCTCTGTCTAAAGAGAATCGTGTTTCTTTCCTTTTCCCTCCCCCCAGCCTTGGAATAATGCTCAGTCTGTTGGCCCTGTCTGCCTGCATCAGGTGGAGGTTGTGTACCACGGGCCCTCCTGGGGCTCAGGCTTCTGGGTTTGCTGTGTGAATTGTAGGGTGGTGGAGCTCAGTCTGTTTTGGATAAGGAAGGGTTAAAATCTCTTCCAGCCCTCATGTCCTGTATTCTGTGTGTAAAGAAACACGGTGCTGTTCTTGAATTGCCAGCCCTGCCCTCTGTATTCTAGGCTGTTCCTCATTTAAAGACTGTTAATTGTTGTTGTTTATGATCATATTGAAGGTCTCTGAAAATGTCAGCCCAGACTGATATCCCTGTGTCCTCAGTGCACACACAGAGCAGAACAGCTCACAGCTTTTCATGAACTTGTCTGTTCCTTTCACGTCACCATCTCTTTCGGGAACGGGAGAAGTGAGATGTGACAATGTAAAGTGGCTTTTCCCGACATCATGCAAACTGCCTGTGACAGAGCTGGGAAAACTGACCCAGAACATCCTAGTCCCAGGCTAGGGCTTCCAGCCCATCCTTCTGCGTTAGAGCGCAGGCTGGGAAGAGCCAGATCCCAGAGCCCTGCTGAGTATCAGCGAATCTCGTTCATCTCCCGCGCCAGGCTGAGCACGCCGTGCCAGTCTCTTCCCAGCGCTGCAGGAACACTCCTGGCTGGGCGCTGTTCCGGGGGATCTGAGCGTGGGGCTGCCCCGGGCTCAGACATGGGGAGTACAAAACCAGTTCACCTGCTGGCCCGGCAGAGGAGGCAGGAGAACCGAAACACCCCTTCGCTTCCAGCAATAGAAAAATCCCGTGACTTTATCATAAACAGCTCTTCAGCTGAAGCAGCTAGGGATTCGAGCGTGGAAATTTGGCATGGAAATGGCCTTTCATTACACTCATGTCTCTGAGCATTCCCATGAAAAACTGCTGTTGATCAGCGGCAGGCTTGAGAAGCGTCGCCTTGCGGAGGTTGCGGGGCTGCCTGCACAGCGCGGCGCTGGGTGTTTTGCTGCCCGTGGACGCGGTCGTTCCCGTTATCCAGGCTGCGATGGGCAGGGCGGGAGCGCTCAGCGCTGCCCTGGGGCTGAGGCACCGCGGGGCTCCGGCGGCGGGGCCGGGGCTGCGCTCGCCTCACGCCGCCATCGCCGGGGCCGGGGCGCCATCTACGGGCGGCGGCGGCGCTGGGCCGGGCGTGAGGGGAGCCGGGCACGGGGTTTGCAGAAACACGGAATCAATAGGGTGGGAAGAGACCTTGGAGATCGAGTCTAACCTGTGACCGAACACCACCTTGTCACTACACCATGGCACTGACTGCCGCGTCCATCCTTTCCTGAAACACTCCAGGGCCGGTGACTACACCGCCTCGCTGGGCAGCCCAGTCCAATGTCTAATCACCCTTTATGTGAAGAATTTCTTCCTAAGGTCCACCCTAAACCACCTCTGGCACATCTTGAGACTATGTCCTCTTGTCCTGTTGCCTGGGAGCACAGCCTGATCCCCACATCACTGTAGAGAGTGATAAGGTCACCCCTGAGCCTTCTCTTCTCCAGGCTAAACACCCCCAGCTCCCTCAGATACTCCTTAAGGGACCCCAGTGGAGACCCTTCGCTGTCTCCATTGCCCTTCTCTGGACCTGCTCCAGCACCTCAATGTCCTTCCTGAACTGAGGGGCCCAGAACTGGACACAGCACTCCAGGTGTGGCCTCACCAGTGCTGAGTACACTGACCTGGTCCTGCTGGCCACACTGTTCCAGGTGCCATCGGCCTTGTTGCCCACCTGGGCACATGCTGGCTCACATTCAGCTGCTGTCGACCAGCATCCCCTGGTCCTTTTCCATTGGGCCACTTTCCAACCACTCATCCCCCAGCCTGTAGAGCTGCAGGGGGTTGTTGTGGCCAAAGTGCAGAACCCAGCACTTGGCCTGGTTGAACCCCGCAAAACTGGCCTCGGCCCATTGATCCAGCCTGTCCGGATCCCTCTGCAGAGCCTTCATACTCTCCAGCAGAGACTCGCACCCAACTTGGTGTAGTCCGTGAATTTACTAAGGGTGGACTTGATCAGTTACAGGAAATCCTCCTGGCCTGGAGACCCAGGAGGTGGCTGTGCCCTGCCAGGCTGGGAGTGCCCAGACGCTGATGAGATGGCAGGAGGTGAGGTGTTGGGGCACAATGTGACTGCTGCTCAGGGTAAGCTCATCTCAGTCCCCCGTGCACCTGGCCCCAGAAAGCTCTGGGGGCTTATTGGGGATCACTGGGGTCGCTCTTTTTGACTTTACCTGTCATACTTCGCAAAATGCATAGCTAACTGTGGTACCTAAAGTGTGTGGAAGATTGGGCAGTATCACTTTGAATCCTATAGTCAATCAGGTTAAGTGCAGCACTGTCAGTCTGAAACTTTGCTAACCTGCATCTCAAAAATTATCATCAAATGGCACTTGAAATTATTAATGCAGATACACTGGAGTTTTTGTTTGCTCTGTGAGTCCTGGAGCCTTTTAGAGATGCCTCAAAGACTCTGAAACCCATGGTGGTGTTCGGTCATAGGTTGAATTCAATGATCTCAGAGGTCTTTTCAAACCTAATTGTTTGTGGGATTCTGAGATGCCCTGTGGCACTCGAGAGACTCCAAGCCAGTGTCAGCTGGCTGAGCCCAGCTCTGGTTTGTGGTTAGTGACTGCTCACAGCAGCTCTGTTGAGATGGAGGGAACAGTGAGTGCTCCATGCTCACTGCAACGTGTTATAGTAGAATGGCAACAGGAGAGAGGGACAAATAAAGGAACTCTTAGGAATACAACCCAAGTTAATTACTGTGGTTGCATTTAGTGACCACAAACAGGACAGGGAATGTAGCAAGAGAAGGGAAAGCAGAAACAGAGTCAAAGCCCATTCTCTCTTCCTGTTGGCAGTTCAGGAAGTTGTGGAGCTGCTAAGCCTTGCACAGAAAATTTTCTCTAACTTGTTCTGGTGCAGAATTTTAGTAAAGGTGGGCTCTGGTGAGCAGGGTTAAGTGTACGTGCTGCACTGCTGAGCCTCGTAAATCTGTCATACGGAACTGATGACTGACAAAATAAGCACAGTCAACATAGCATGCTGGGGAGAAAAGCAGTGCATACTCCTACATTAACTGATGGGTTTTGAAATAGCAGTTTTGTTTTCATTCCTCCCCCAGTTTAGTTGCTAAAAAACCCACCACCCCTCAACAGTAAAAACAAAATGTCCATAAAGCAGGGATAGTGGTTTACAAAATGTACTTTGGTCCTTCTGGCTAATAGTTTAATTCCCTGCAAACACGCAGGATTTTTTGCCTTTAGGTGGAACTAGTTGTGGTCATTTACTGTCTTTGTCAAAGCAAACTTATTGATTGTACCCAATTGCTCTGAAGCAATTCATAAACAGGAAATACTAACACAGCAACCAGTAGTTTTTTGCCCAGAGCAACATCTGTGCTCCAAACAGCTTAGAGTAATACAAAATAGTACAAATCTGCTGATAACACAGTGTCAAATGGTAAATCTGGATCAGTGTTGCATATATCCAAGATTAAGCATTTCTGAGTCAAAGCCTTCAACTCCATTAAAAAAGAAATAGGCCTTAATACTAATCTTGGTATAGTGGTGTTAGTGCAGTTACTTTGCTGATTTCAGACATTACATCATGTTTATTAAATGGTAACTGAGATGACTGAGGTACATCAGCCTGAGCTCTAACTCCAACAGACACAGTTGTCTTAGTTCATTTTTCTACCAAGTCAAGTCACCCTTGTAATTGCTTAGGAAAGACTGGAGGGGCACAGAATTTATCCTTGGCAAGGTTTCCTTGGCAAGGAAACCTCCTGTAAACTGACTACATGTTTGGAAAACATACCTGTCTAGTCTAACCAAATGAGAAATGTTGGATAAAGGCTAGTAAACATATCAAGACAAAACAATTACACTTAAATATGAATTTTATTTCTAAGGTTATTTTGCTATAAATTAATAATGAGAATGAGGACATATAGTAAAAGCAGCAGTAGATAGAGAGTGCACAAGAACGTAAAGAATCTGGGGGGAAACATTTGCATGCTGCCCTCCATGACTAACATGTATCTTAGTCTTATATTGAGGAGGAAAAGCCACAAACACATCTGAGGAACACGGGTGTGAATTTTCTCCTCTACTCAACTCACTTAGCTGGTTCCATCACCTACTGAATCTTCACTGAAGGACAAATAAAACAAAGCCAGTGTTGGATGACATTCAGGGTAGTTCCATCTAGACACAGTTTGGAATGTGCTTCGGCCTGGAAAGATGTGTCTTTGCTGGAAGTCAGTGCAGTTGCTCTCTACAGAAATGCTTCCCACTCCCTCCTCTCTAGTTCATAACCCTTTACCCACTCATTAGAGGCTGGCTCTCTAGCCCCCCAAGTTCATGCAAAAGAAGCCAATAGCTATGTTTTCACATGTAACTCAGAATTTGGGAGGGGGCTCTGGTTCGCCTCTTTAGTGTGGTCAGACTTATCAGAAAACTGAGCCTTCCTACACCCCTCTTGGGAAGCCTGGCTCTGTCCAGCTGTCCATAACTGAAAGCCCAAAAGTAACTAGTCACAGATGACTTGTGACCTCTGTAAGCACTGACATGGAACCCTGAACGGACTGTCACTGCTATACAACAGATTTATCCTTACCTCATAGTGCACACTGCACAAAAACAGTGGTACTGTAGTACCTGTGGACCTCCCATAGCTTTTGGGGGGTCAAGTATTGGGCACCAGGTAGGAAAGCTTGTGCTTGCATACTATGCAGGTATAACTGGAATTACAGAGTCATGAATAGCACCATTCAGAAACAAACAATATCATTTCAATCTGCTTTGAAAATGATCTTGCCATGCCTGCTGCCTCTTCCCATCACTATGGTACCACCTGTCTGCAGAACCTTGCATGGCAGTGCCTTCAAGCCCCGAATCCCCTCTGGCCCTGCTCCTTCAGCTCACACCAGCTGCAGATACATGAAGTACTGGGCTGGGCAGAGAAAGGCTATGGAGTCACGACTGTGTATCCACCCAGACATTATTCCAGATCTGACCAAACCTCCACTCTGTTCCTGAGCAACAGGAAACACAGCCAAGTCTTCAGGAAGCAAGTCTGAGCTTCAACAAGCAGTGACCAGGTGGCAATCCCTATGCTGTGGCTGTGTGCACCAGGACATTGCCACTTGTGTTTCTGCAGGGAGATCAGAAAGGCTGCAAGCACCTGCATTTAGATAACTGTGATCTTGAATTTATGCTCTAGCACAGTTTTGTACATTTGCTTTCTGGCTTCTAAATGCCTATGCTACCAAGATGGAAAAGTAGCTCATGATTTTTGTATAAAAGTAGCCTTTTGTTTCCAAGATGGAACTAGATTCTTTGGCTTCAATTTGTAATGTGTTTTTCCATTTAGAAGGGATAAGGTTATTTTTTTAATGGAAAATTACTTCAATTTGAACTTTAAAAAAGATAATTTCTTGCTTTGAATTCAACCCAGGAATGTTTTGCAATCAACAGTCTTTATTTTATACACTTCAATTGAAGAAACTGGGGACCTGGACAGAGTTATCTCCTGAAAGCACGAAAGACATGTTCCCCTGCTGTGATCATCAGCTCTTGAGGAAAAAAAAACACCAAAACACCCCAGATGATTCATTTTGTGTGACCTCTTCCCAATCATCACGAAATTTAAAAAAATCACACGATGTTCAATTGTTTTATTCTCCCCCACTCCTTACAAGTTAAGAACCACAGAGGGAGAAGAGGAGGTAAAGACATTCTGCAAAACTCGTTATATCGCGAAGCGCAAACGAAACAGCAGCATAGACTGGTAATCAACTTCAAGGTTATCTCAAGGATTAGAAAAGGTAGATGTTTGTTCACTTACATTCCAGTCACATCCCTTTCTGACCTCAAGGGTACCAGGCCTCTAAGAGACCTTCAGTACTGTACCCCAATTTCTTTTGGTTTAGACTAGCAATAAGGAACTTCCACTTTAGTCCTCTTTTGCACCTCCAACAAGTCCTTTCAGTACATTCCACTGGCAGAACATGTGCAGCTGTGTTAAACTGTGAAAGGACATGCATGCACATTGGTGTACAGCTCCAGCCAAAGTCTCCTGAAAGCAGTTTACATTCCCTGCATTAGGCCCACTCTTAATAATGCAGCCTAGACTACATCTGTCTGTTTACTTCCAATGATTCCAAGTGGTTGAGTTGGTCCTAAGAGTCACGAAAGCCTAGTGCTCCCCCTGCTGCTACCCAAACCCTTGTCCAACCTTCTGTTGCTTAAATAGGTAGGATGGAGCCCAGAGAGCTTTAGGATGAAACGGAAAAGGTTGGGACTTGATCTGAATTTATATGGGTGCAAGTTCTCATCTATTTTCAACTTTCCCGACATACCTGAAACCCCGTGAACCATAAGGAAATTAACCTACTCCTGAATGAAAGCATAAGAATGACTTAACATTAAAACAATACGAATACAGAAAGCTAAAAGTGGAAGTATAAAAATAAGTCCTCTTACTCTAAGAACTCAACTTAGGCACCCTGCCTCTTTCACCTGAACAAGAAAGCAAGTGCATTTCTTCAGAGCTTTCTTTCCCCTGCCAAGCACAGCTCAGCATGGATTATAACAGGATGGGTAACAGGCCACGTAACACACAAACCAGCTGCATTCCAGCTGACAGTCATAGCACAGCAGCCTGCAGGGGCACACTGTGTGAGGGAACCAGGCATACAAACAAAGCCAGCCAGGTTCCTTGGAGTGTTTTCCACAACAAGTCATGAAGGGGAGAGGAGACCTGCTGAATGTGAGGGGGAAGTGTGCACAGAAAAAATCCAGGCTCAGCTGTGCTCAAAACTAGTTGCAAATAAGGAACCTGGTTAAGGAAACCTCGGCGGCTGCGAGGCAGACACCCCATCCTAGCCCTGGCAAGGCAGCTGATATCAAAGTGCCTGTGTGCAAGGACTAGTTGTGCTGCTTGTGTCTGCCCTCCTGAATGCTCCTGCCTGCAGACAGGCTGGTAGCCCCAACAGGGCAAAGGTTGTCGACATTAGTTCTCCTGCAGACTCTGCAGAGGGACAGCAGTGAGGAGTAGAGACACTGCACAATGGCCTCTTCCTCAGCAATGCAGCTGGTGCGGTGTCTGAGGAGACTGCTCTACAGACAAGGAAGACCACGTGCAAAGTAAAGACCTGCTGCTTCCATCTGACCAGAGAAGAGTGGTTCAGGATAAAGAGGGAAGTGGAATAACAAACATTGGTCTTCCTTGCCACTGGTCATTCACATTTCTAGGAGAATAAAAGAACTGAGGAATGCTGCCACCTTTTAGTGGTTTGCTTATGTGTTCTCAAAGACAACCTCACCTGGATGGTGTGAGAGGCAGGTACAGGACTCCACCTAAGAAAACACACTACCATCTGCAGGCAAGTCTGAAAACAAAAACATTCTCAAGCACGGCAGACTACCTAACGCCAAGGAGTTTCTGCTGAGCTGTATGTTTGTCCAGGGAATGTTTAGAAGCCAATAGTATGTATATACTAATGCAGGGCTCCTGTAAACTTCTTATTTGGACCAGATCTTAGACCACCCAAAAAATCCATTTTTTGCTATGGTGTTTACAATAACAGTCTGTTCATAAAGCAGGTGACTGTTCACTGCTACCATGTGACATTGGTGCTCATATTGATCCTTATAACTCCAAATATCAGAATTCAAGAGCAGCACATGCCATCTCCAACCACTTAGCTAAACGGTGCCTTTAAACTCTCATTAAGACAGTTAAGAATCAGTTATTAAGATGTCACTACTGAAAAATAACTATTGCATTTCTTAAAGTTTAAGAGTAAACAACATTGCCAATATATTATTGCACACAATAAAGGTTTTTGGAACTACAGAGATAAGGAACGGGTAACCTAGAAGACCCAGAACAATGATCCCAGAGCCATTCCAGTTGCTGCTCCAGCAAGCATTCCCAGAGCAAGATCTCCATCGCTGTCACGGTAACGCTCTCGAATGATGACGTGGTTTGCAGGGGGTTGGCCATAAGGTCCTAGGAAATAAGAGATTGTTAGGAGGAGGGCAAAAGAAATGTGTATCTAAATACCATGCATTGCAATTCACCCCCTTCCTTCGACTGAACACTACGATGATGACACTACAGAGGTAGAATCCATTTCTGCTTTGGATTCAGCCTTCACATTAATTAAATAAGTCCAGGGGCCTAGCAACACTTCTAGCCTTGTAAGGGCTTAATATCTGTGAGGAAAACTCATCACAAATGTAAAACTGAACATTGTTCTGCAAAGAACTTATGAATTGCTTGTATCATCCTATCAAACACTTTGTGGATTTAATGAAAGAAATGGGTCTAAAAACTTATTCAGTCTTGAAGTTACAGCAAATAGAGTAGTTCCCTGCCCCCCCCCAAAAAAGAAATCTTTGGCAGCTCTTAAGCCAGCAGTTTATCAGAAACTGTGTATCAGTTATTTACTCTACATTTACTGCCTAGTGCTTCAATTCACCCTTCACATCCTGGACTGATCTGTGGTGTGGTGACAGCTGCTACATTTCTTCTGAAACTGGCCCAGTAGTAAGGAATTACCTAAGACTCAAGAAACCACCAACTGATCATGGTTCTGCACCAGACTTGTCATGTTTTTTGACTTAGCTCCTACCTGCAAATTAAACATGAGTACTGCTTTCCCTTCCAGACATTTCAAGAATATTAAATATTCTTGAAAATCCCACAATGTTTTTTTGTAATAAATTGTGAAGAAATCCAACTAATACAACTGGAAAAGGTTTTCACTGACTCTCAGCGACGCATGACCTCATGAGAGGATTATGTCACTTCAGAGAATGAGCAATGGAGCCCAAAGTACAGGGGTTTAAGTTGGCTGCTGGGGTGAACCTGTACCATAAGTTTTAGTTGCAGTGACCCTGGTGAAGGAAAACATCAAGCCTTGGTTACTGTGCCCAACCTGTAACTAGTACCTTAACACAGAGGACTTGCAAACTGTTCAGGAGAGTTACTGCTTGATGCTGCATCGTTATTACACAGGTTTCTGAGCCTTGATTTACTTGCTGGAAGTTAATAAAAATGGTTCTTGGAACTTTCAACAAGCTGCTGCTTTTCAGCTGCAGAGAACCAACAGAACCCACCTTCCTCTGTGTTTGCATGTATATATTCTGTATCTTCAGACTTCACTAACTTAGATGAAGAAAACTTTAAAAGTTTTAGACTGATGCACCTCTCTTGTAATAAAAAATGGAAAAGGCAAGTGAAATAACCTGACAAATGACAAATGGAAAACAACATCTCCCTTGAAACTGGAAAAAAGTCTCAATAGATATTCTTGTTTGCGAAGCCAGATCATAAGCAATTAGTAAGTTAGACTCCTCATTTACATTACCATGCTATTCTAAAGACCCAATTCTGTAGGAATGGGGCTCTCTATGCAAAACTAACCCTAAATTAAGGCAACTACAATTAAAAGCACACCTTACAATTTTACTCTTTCCTCCTTCTGTTACTGGGCTTGGAAGCTATATAAAAACCTGAACAGAGTAACAGAAGACTTCACAAGGCTGAAATGCTGCCTTATAGCAATTCCAGCCCGTGGGGAAGGAACCAGCTACAACCTTGCTTTGGGAGTGGATTTACCTTTTGAACTTGCATTTAAATAATGAAGCTAGGTATAAGAGCAACAAATGAATTAAAAGCTCCATCAATGGAGTACTGAATCACAGAATCACATCTTTTTCTGGCTCTTGTACCTTTCCTTAGAAAACATGCTATAGTTAGAGAGTTCTGTGTACTTCAAAGAGAGTTTATGAAGTAATTTAACTATGCTTTGATCATAGAGGGAAGGTTAAATCCCTTAATACCAAATTTCACTGCACTTGGTTTGTTGTGAAAGGGTGAGAGAACTTGGTTCCAGTCACAAGTTCAGGTTTCTTTCTTTGTACCCCTCTGTTGTGCAGGAGTGGTGGCTGGTAAAGGATGGTGATTAACAGAGTTAAAGCCAGAAAGACTGACTCAAATGGGTTCTATGGGAAGGTGAAGGATGTGGCTGACACTGATTACCTTGGTATGGATACTGATAGGGAACAGCATAGGCTTGTCCATTGGAGGCATAGAAGACCTGAGGCCCCACGGGGGGATATGCACTGTTGTACTGATCGTAGCCATAGCCATAAACCTGGGGAGATTCAAAATGGTCATTACACAAGTGTTCTTTGCTGTGTAGCCAGTTAAGCATATTGTTCACCTTGCCTTCCTTTCTAATGTAGTTAGAGGTTCACTAAAATATCCAGTCTGTATGATATAGCCTGTCTGCTCCCTGGGGAGGATTCAGAACAGCTGCTTGAAAAAAAAAAAAAGTGCTCCTAAGCAGCATTCACTCTTCACTCTTCCTGGATAGGGAATGGCAGAGGCAGGGCCTTACAGGCAGAGCCCCAGCAGCCTTACCACTTTCTCCTCTCTGCCCTCATGCCAACAATGGCTCTGGAGAGCTTGGAAGTGCCAGGAAGACAGAAGCTGATCCCAAGAAACTCCAACCAACCTTCCTCTAGCACACTGCAAGTTAATGTCAGGTTTAGGACAAATACTCTGTAGCCATATGTTTTGGAAGCAATTTTGGTCTCCAAAAGGGGAGGCCCACAGAGGAGGCTTCCAGTACCACATCTAGTTCTTAACAACTAACAGCAAGGGGCTGGAGCAGAGCACCTGTAGTGCAAAAGCAATACTACTCTAGACTATCCCTTCACATATTACTGCACATCAATCAGAACATCCAGAAATCCCCAGTTGATTCTGCCCCAGGGCTGCTCCTTCACTGCAAAAGAACCGTGTATCCAGGAACTGAAGTTATTTTGTTGCTATGACATCTTGGAAACAACAAAATCCTTCTGTGTTAAAAGTGACAGCTCCAGTCATTAAATCCTATTTTTAAAACTCCTGATCTGATATCTTTTCAGTGCTTACACAATGTGAAAGTGTAGTCACACCTCCTTTATGTTAGAGGCTGTATGGCTAATATCTTTCAAGATTAGCTAAATAAATTCTGCCCTGTCTCTAAGAAGCTTTATTTTCCAAGTTCACTGAGCAGCCATTGCTTTATACACCTCCCAAACAAATCTGCTTCATCCCTTTCAGAGGAAATTCATCTCAAATAAGAGTGACAATAGACAGTTAGTGCCTTACTCTCTGCTGTTGTACAAGCTTTAAAGCTGGATACGACAATACAACACAACACTTTGTGTGTACAGTCTGAGTGCTTGAAGGAGGCTGCTTCTGCTGCCTCACTCATTCTAATGTTCCTGACTGCAACTCTTACCTCAGGTGATGGTGTGGCATAAGCTGTGTAGGGAGGAGGGGCCGAGGAAATGGCTGTCTCATCATACATCACATCAGATCCCACGTAGCCCTAAACACCATGGAAAGACAGCAGTTATCAGCTTTTCCTACAGACTGGCAGCTGCCGTAGTGCAAGGATTAAACCTGAAGACCCCAAAGAAGAAGTAACCTTTAGCCATGCTGCATGTTAAGAAAGCAGTGAGTACCTTAAAAAGGCTGCAAAAGGAAAGTACTTGGAGAGCAGACCTGGGAGAATACAAATGCCTGATCAACCACAGGAAGGAGCCATAAAATTTCTCCCTCTGTGTGTACACACACAAGCAT